CAGAGCCGGCAGTACAGGTGGAGCTGAGGACCACCACAGCAGAGTAGACGGAACCAAAGATCCCCAAGGCAGAGCAGAACACCAGAACAGAAGATCTCCACGGTGGAGCAGATGACCACCAGAGCAGGACAGAAGACCACCAGACCGGAGCAGAAGACCCCCACGGCGGAGCAGACGGAGCAGAAGACCCCCACGGCGAGCCAAACTGATCAGGAGAACATGGCAGAGACTGTAACGTAGCGAGAACAGAGATAGACAACACAGACAGAGCATACACGGCCCCAAGGACCGAGGCAGGAAATATAACGAGTCCCTCAAAAGTTTATCTGATGACAACTGAGTGGGCAAACAGTTCATAATCAGGCTTTTTGACTGAAACTGGACATATGGTTCATTTATAGTTTCTGAGTTCATGACAGACAGAGCTAAGAGTTCAAAGGAGGATTTTTGGGCTGTGACAAGGCTACTAGAGCTTACAGGTAGCTCAGGTAAGGTTTCTCGGGTCGTGACTGGACTAATGGGGCAAATAACATAGATTGAAACTGGACAGACAGATGGTTTAAAATCAGACTCGTTAACTAAATTTTAAGATTAATATTAGCAGACAGTTCAACACAGGATGCATTGTCTGAGATAGGATGAACGGACTGTTCAAAACCAAGAGCATTGACTGGAACTGGACTGACACACAACTCATGGGCTGATACTGGGCAGATAGACAGTACTAAATTGGTATTGACTGTGGGATCGGAACAGACTCGGAACAGAGTCAACATCAGGCTCATTGCGGGAAACAGGACAGACTGATAATTCAAAAACAATTTCGTTAGCGACCCTTAGACGAACATACAGTTCACAACCAGCCTCCATGGCTGATTCAGAACAGTACAAGAGTTCAGAGATGGCGTCATCGGCCGGTTCAGAGCAGGACAAAAGTTCAAAAGCAGCCTCTATAGCCGTAAGTGGAAAGGCAAAGAGTTCACAGATGGCCTTCATAGCCATTACAGGACAGGCAGAGAGTTCACAGACGGCCTCCATAGCTGTTACAGGACAGGCAGAGAGTTCACAGACGGCCTTCATAGCCGTTACAGGACTGGCAAAGGGATCACAGACGGCCTCCATAGCCGTGACGGGACAAGTAGAAAGTTCATAGATGGCCTCCTTGGCCGGAAAAGGACGAGACGAGAGTTCATAAGTTGATACCACTGACACCTCTGGAGGTTCTGCAGCGGATGCCGCCACCTCTGGAGGTTCTACAGTAGGACCATCAGGATACAGGGAGAGTTCAGTAATGGTTCCTTCGACCGTGACAAGACAGGCTGAAGGTGCATTGCTGGGCGCCACCATCGTGCAAGGAGCTGAAGTGAGCGCCTCCGCCTCAGAAGGTTCTACAGCATGTGCTGCCACCTCTGGTGAAGCTGCAGCAGGCGCCATCGCCTCAGGGACCACAGCAGCGAACACCACTACTTCGGAAGGTTCTGCAGCGTCAGCCGCCACCTCTGGAAACATCATAGTGGCCGCCGCTGTCGCTAGTGTTTGAGTGGTGGTGTATGCAGCCCAAATACACCATAAAGCGATCCACATAGTGGGAAGCGCTACAGACAGGGGACTTAGTTCAGGAACAGGTGGGCTAGAGTGAGTGGGTTTGGGGATACCAGCTGTGACCGCTCACACCAGCGGTGGATCCTCCATGCTAGATACCAGTAGGGAGTACGGACGAACTGACCTCGGACTTCTTGGTGCAGCAGACAGGATGTAACCGGACTCTGGATGATCAGCTGTGATGTGACGTGACTCTGGATGATCAGCTGTGATGTGATGTGACTTTGGATGATCAGCCGTGATGTGACGTGATTCTCGATGATCAGCTGTGATGTGACGTGACTGGATGATCAGCTGTGATGTGACGTGACTCTGGAAGATCAGCTGTGATGTGACATGACTCTGCAAGATCAGCTGTGATGTGACTTGACTGGATGATCAGCTGAGATGTGACGTGACTCTGGATGATCAGCTGTGATGTGACGTGACTCTGGATGATCAACTGTGATGTGACGTGACTGGATGATCAGCTGAGATGTGACGTGACTCTGGATGATCAGCTGTGATGTGACTCTGGAAGATCAGCAGTCATGTGACGTGACTCTGGAATATCAGCTGTGATGTGCCGTGACTCTGGATGATCACCTGTGATGTGGACATGACTCTGGATGATCAGCTGTGATGTGCCGTGACTCTGGAAGATCAGCTGTGATGTGACGTGACTCTGGAAGATCAGCTGTGATGTGACGTGACTCTGGATGATCAGCTGTGATGTGGACATGACTCTGAATGATCAGCTGTGATGTGACGTGACTCTGGAAGATCAGCTGAGATGTGACGTGACTCTGGATGATCAGCTGTGTTGTGACGTGACTCTGGAAGATCAGCTGTGATGTGACGTGACTGGATGATCAGCTGTGATGTGACGTGACTGGATGATCAGCAATGACTTGAGTCAAAACTCATGATGATCGGTGATGATTTGACTTGACTCAGAATGATCAGCGATGACTTGACTTGACTCATGAAGGGCAACTGTGACTTGACTTGCCTCATGAAGGTCAGCAGTGACATGACCGAGCGTTCTAGTCGCCGCCATTTTGTGAACAGGCTCCGCTGTCGCCGCCATTGTGTGAGCATGCTCCAGTGCAGCCGCCATTCCACGAATGGGTTGAATCACCAGAGTAGCGATCAGTACCCTTGAATGTCCATGAGCTTGTGGCTGACAAAATCTCACGGTCGCCATTACCGGCACGGATGCGATATCGCGTTTCTCCTCCGCAACACACACAGTGAATAGAGAGCCAACAGTCAACAAAGCATAACAAAGCAGTGATGAACGTGGATCCTCACGTCTAAGCTTTGACTGAAGAGGTTGATTCACGCCATCACAAAAAAACTCTATTAAAAGAATATCAGATAAATCAGAGTAGTGAGCAATGGCTACAAACTCTCGAATATAAGTCTCCAAAGATTGCGTGTCTTGTTTAAGGGCTAATAAAATCCTTGCGGTGTCCATACCTGGCCCATGTCCACTTGATCAGCTGCTGGATCCTTGTGCGGCCGAGTATTCTGTTACGGGATGAATGAGACGTGAGGATCCATTTCCAAGCTTTATTTAGAAGACGTGGTCAGAAACAGGCATAGGTCAGAAAATGGGCCTTCACTGTTCCCTCTCTCTACAGTTGCATTTGTAGAAAGCGAGATGACACAAACAGCTTCCTTTATGTTTAGTCTCTTGTCATTAACTTGAACCCAATTTCAGATTAGATGGGCATGAATGAGAAATCTTTTAGTGTATCTTTTGGTCATTAGATTTTTTATTTAATATTGAAAGTAGAAAATGGCTCCATTTTATTTTTTTCATTTCTTTTTGCGAAAATAAATAAATAAATAAAGAATTTGGCTTCATTTTTCATTTTTCGTTCAGGGGTAGAAAAATGAATAAACAGCTTGACTATTCGATTTCTACATGTGGGCAGGAATTAAACGCCCCCTTTCTGCTGATTGGTCAGCCGAAGATCAACCCGTGCCGGCATCAGTTCTTCTGCAGTTCCGCGTGGCAGAATACTAGTCCTCTCCTGCTGCAGTTGTAGGGATTCTTAACCTGTTTTATTGCAACTACATTTAATCCAAAAATACAGATAGAAATGTCAACAATATAAAGACAGAATACAGAAATGTACAGAATGTGAATTAGCACATATGCGAGTGCAGTGTTACTGAATGAGCATTTTAAACTGATGTGCTCTTCGTGTCGATGCTGTTACTTTAAGATGATTTACAAAGAGACAACACTATTTGTAATGCTATGGTCTGTTCTGCTTCAATTACATAAATGCTTAAATGCGTAAATTAGTAAAATAAAAAACTCAGAAACGGTTTTGTTGATTTTGGCTAATCTGTTTTTCCACACAGAAATTCTTGTTCATTGAAGCTCCTCCCACAAAAAAAATCACGTCATCAGTGAAGCTCCTCCCACAACAATCACATCATCAGTGAAGCTCCTCCTACAACAATCACACATTCAACGATTCAGCAATAAATGCTGGAATATTCCCATCAGTTTACAAGTGCAGACGAGCATCAGATCAGTAGGAAGAGCTTATTAAAGAGGACAGAGAGAAGATGAGCGATTCAGAACCCTGCAGAATCAAACACACTGAAGAACAAGCAGGTTGGTGTTTATTCTTCATTCTTCATTAATAATGCTGATGGTTATAAAGCTTCTAACAGTTTTAGATTTTTGTTATAACAAGGAAAACCTTTAGAGCTGTTGAATAAACTTACTGAAGGATCAAATATTAATATTTCTATGAACTGGATACTTTTTTTCTTAAAATGTAACATATTTATTAGTTCCATAGAAACATGGAATTTGTGACTACAATTGTTTTAAACATATTAATTAGAAGACCAACGTACCTCATTCATGGAAAGTTTCAGGGACGTATAATTTATAAAAACGCATCAAAATTATCAACATTTTGTAACGCAATTGTCTATTTTCCATTGTTATATCAGGGTTTACTTTTATGTTCTTTCATAAAAGTTCCTGAAAATGAACTCTTTTTAATTTTATTTCAGAGTTTATTGAAGAAAATGAGCAGAATGAAGAATTGAGTGAAGTTGAAGAGAAAAATCATGTTAAAACTGGAGAAAAACCTTTGAGTTGCTCTCAAACCAGACAGAAAGATTTAAAGAAAAGACGAGACAAGAAATCTTTCACCTGCACTCAGTGTGGAAAGAGTTTGACAAGCAAATA